TGGCAGTCTCGACCGTTGGTAAGTACAATTTATAACAAAATTCTTAGATTTCAAACTTCCGTGAAATATCTAAAAAAATTTTACGGTGAATTTCTTGTTTTATTCACTGTGATTCGAAGTTCTCTGTTTACGTGAATTAATTTTCCTAAACTGATTGAGACATGAAAATACTGCCATTGGATAGTGATGATTCATATAAGCATAGAAATCATTCTCAAATTCGTACCAATGCTTTAGGTTTCAAATTTTGAAACATATTTATTGGAAAGATGGTAATAGACGAGACGACTACAAAACGCATTATATAAATGAACATAGTTTATACGTATCAATCTGGTGACCCTGTCATGGTTAGATAAGATGTTTAAGAAAAAACGTGCCAAGTTGTTTCCATACGTACCTTTGAGGGTTCTTTTCTTGATGAGCATGTAGTGAATAAGATTGATTAAAGAGATTTTATATCAAGGAAGTTGCCAATGAAGTTACGTCTTGGCCACGTCATAAGAGGTGTAATCCCTGTACCTATTCAGTACAGTACAGAACAGTACAGAACAGTACAGAACAGTACAGAACAGTACAGAACAGTACAGAACAGTACAGAACAGTACAGAACAGTACAGAACAGTACAGAATAGTACAGAACAGTACAGAACGAACAGTACAGAATAGTACAGAATAGTACAGAACAGTACAGAATAGTACAGAATAGTACAGAACAGTACAGAACAGTACAGAACAGTAGTTGTTATATGCTGAAATGAGGCAAACGAGGAAGCGAGAAATCATCAGAGATATCAGACGTCCGGGGAGAACTTGAGTTTTTCGTGAGCTAACACAACCAGTGGGATTGTACGATGTACTTAAATGGGGACTAGGACTGGGGGTTTAGAGCGCCATCCAATGCTCAGGTACCTGGATTCCCCCATATGTCGCCTCTATTTCCTTCTAACTACCAGCCATTCTGGGATTATGAGATTTCAAGTTCACCTGTTGTGGGGTCGTGTGGCGTAGTGGCAGAGTGCGAGACTTGGAACCTAAAGGTCCCGGGTTCGAGTCCTGACATGCCACCGATCTTCTGCCCTTGTAAAAGGCACTTTACACGACTTTCCTCACTTCGCTCAGGTGAAAATGAGTATTGTCCTGTCATGTATTTGTCCCGTGTGTTGTTGGCGGCATTAATATAAGTTGAAAAACTGTGCCGTCACCACGTCTGGTGATTACATGTTGGAATAAAAAATAAAATAAAAAGTTCATCTCATTCCTCATACAACCCACCCAAAGCAATACTTCCATGCCTGTGTAAGGTCGCACAATGTCCTGGGAGATTGAAACAGTCCAGGATTTGTGATTTTCTCAGTTGGTAGCAAGCTAATGACAAGGAGAATGTCATATCTAGACTTTTGCAAACAGTGATCTGCCATCTTGCTACTTTAAATTCTACATCAAATGAACGTTAAGAAGGTGAAACAAAATATATTTTAAACTTGATTTCTTGACCACACTATCAACAACTTAAACTCAAGAGACGGTCCCTGTTTTTTTTCAAATCTCAGTTTGTATCACTGCATTTCGTTCTCACCGTGAACACAGGTAGCAACAATCCTAGCCCTATCTCTTATAATGCACTTTATGTACACAAACACCTATTCATGAAGTTCTAACTGGTCATTACATGCACGGTTAGGGGTTGAACAAGCAGGTTGTTTGTGAAACTGGTCACTTACAAGCCATTAAAAGTGATCGCGCGGTTGATAGGAAAGTCAACATCAATGTTCGACAAAATTAATCGCATCGTTGTTATTTAATGAACAAACGTTTACCTTTTTTTATCAACATTAGACAGTGAACAATGGCCAAGGCGTGGCGTTGCAGACTTGTTTTATAACGCCACATGTAACACAAAAATTTCACAGGGTCCGCCACCGTTAGAATTTTCAAGGCCAAATGCAGAAACCACCTCTCATCCGATTACTAAGTTTTGAACAATTTTTAACCTATCAGACTTTCTAACCGTTCCATCTTCCCTCTTCTCTTTTGACTATAGATATTCTTATGATTACTATATTAATTTGATGATGATGTGTCTTCGATATTGTATAATGCACTGTTATGTTTTGCTATTTGGATATTCGTAACTTGTTGTTAGGTTCTGTATATTGTATTGACTTGTCCTGTATATTGTATTGACTGTGTTGTGTTGTATGTACCAGTGGCAGCCGCCACCAGCCTTTGGGCTGCCTGGCTCCCACTTGTAATGCATTGTGGCATCACCAATAAATGAAATGTAATGAAATTATAATGTATTAATCGAGATCCTCTGAGTAAAATACTAGTACGCTGTTTGGAATTGTCAGATGAGTCGAATAGGATGCTTCAGTATGAAGTATCTTTGTAACTTTGCCGAAAAGCTTCGATCTCTGCTGACTATATGAAGGACAGTGACGCATATTGCAAAAGGGTGTGTTGTTTATGACGACTCAAATAATGTAGCATATTCGGTAGCGGCCAAAACATTTTTGACAGGCAGACACAGTGAATAATACAGTACGATGTTTCTGTGTCTAATAACATCGGTTTTGTCTTATATATAGTCTCCGCCCAGTCCTGTGACTTTGAGACAGATTTCTGCGGATGGACACAGGCAACAGATGGAAATATAGACTGGCTGATCAACTGGGGACCAACCGCAGCAAGGCAGTTCGCGAATTATATGAACAGGCCTTCAATGGGGACTGGTCCGATGGCGGATCACACGCTAGGAAACGATGGTAAGTCATCATTCATCCTTATTATATTTTTCTCCTGCAGAGATATGGTCACGCATCTCAGTCACACGCACACACACACACACACACACACACACGCACACGCGCACGCACGCACGCACGCACACACACGCACACACACACACACACACACACACACACACACACACACACACACACACACACACACACACACACACACACACACACACACACACACGCACACACACGCACACACACACACACACACACACACAAGCACACGCACACACACACACGCCCGCCCGCACGCCCGCACGCGCGCACACACACACACACACACGCACACGCACTCGCACTCGCACACGCACACGCACACGCACGCACATAAATATAGATAGATAGATAGATATATAGATATATAGATAGATAGATAGATAGATAGATAGATAGATAGATAGATAGAGATGTAGATAGATATACACACATAGATTGTTCTATGCATCTAATTTGCAGTTGGAGGCTATGCGACGATCCCCCACACGGGCCACAATGACGGAGACAGGGCGCGGCTAGTCAGTCAGGAGTACACCAATGACGTGGTGCTGAGCTTCTGGTACCACCTCTTCGGGCAGAACATCTTCCTGAATGTGTACCTGGAGAAGGGTGGAACCCTGAGTCCCATCTTTAATACATATGCTGGTGTGTCCACAGACGACATTTGGAAACCTGTCGTTTTGCCAATAGTTGCGCAAGGACCGTACAAGGTATTTCCTATCATTTGTATCTTTTTTTGTCTTTTCTGTAATCGAAGATTGTTCCCAATTTTCACGATGTGCTGCTACTTCACACTTGGTTTTTGTTCACATTATGTCTACTCAGATTGTATTTGAGACGGGACGGGACGGCAGCTTCCGTTGCCAGGCAGCCATTGATGACGTGACTATCACCATGTGCGGTGGTGGTAGGTCCTTTGTCTGAGATACTATATATAAAAGCGAAAACATTTGTTTTTCCAGTCTTGTTAATGTAGCCTACCTTCGAGACATAATATTTTGCAGATACTAGTATTAGGCGTTGTCCAGGTGCTACAAACCTGCTGATGAAATGAAACGTTCATCATGTTTAAAGTTAAAACTTTTGGTCCAACACAAAAACTTCTCTCACCTAGAGCTTTCGACCAGTCACTCTGGTCTTCCTCAATAGACTGACCCAGTGAAGCTTGTCACGTGGCTTCTTTGAAGTGTGACGTCAGTGGGTCAGTCTACTGAGGAAGACCAGAGTGACTGGTTGAAAGCTCTAGGTGAGAGACTTTTTTGTGTTGGACCAAAACTCTTAACTTTAAACATGTAACTACCAATACAGATGAACTTTCATGATAGTAAACGTTCATCATGTTTGTTTTTCTGCAGTTTGTGAGATCCCGCCAGCTCCTCGCCTTGACTGTAACTTCGACCGTGACTTGTGTGGCTTTCAGCAGGACACCAACGACAACATAGACTGGACCAGGCACAACCATGCCACACCCAACCGTGTATATGCCGTACAAAACAACGTGGAGAGTGCGAAAACCGGACCGTTCCATGACCACACACTGGGCCAATATCATATGCATGCTGGTAAATGCAACTTGTTATGGTCTTCAAAATGTCTAATAGTAGTGCCTTTTAAAGAGCAGAATAAACTCAATAGGTTCGTTACGAACTGTATAGATTCAGTATTAACTTCCGGAACAGAAGTATTGGTTTGAGTGGAGTTGGTTTGTGGAATATTGTATATTTGGGTTCCGAAGTTAGTGTTTGGGTTTTACTTGATCATCAGGTGTTTAACTCAGTATGCCCTAGACCCTGGGCCAGGAATGTACAAAACATAACATCGGCGCAAACTTTATCTACTTTCCAGAAGTTTGAAATATCTGATTATGTTTACCGAAGGAAAACATATTGTTTTTGCTCAGTTTCTTCCTCTTCTTCTTCTTCTTCAAACAGTGACCTCTGACCTGACCAATGACACGATTTGTTGACGTCTGTCACCAAGGTGACTGGTATTGGGTTACATAATGTTGCAATTTCATGGTCTGCTCTGCTCCTGTCACCATATACTTAGTCTAGTAGTACATTATATGAATGTGTTTGAGTAAGAATTAACAGAGCAGACCATATCCGAAGGTAAACATTATGCATTTGCTTTGCAAATGTTACTTCTCTAGTTTCTAGTTAGATCAGTGGTTATATCACGTTTCCCTTTACAGGATACTACATGTACATAGAGTCCTCCACCCCGGCGAAGACAGGTGATGTGGCCAGACTCTTCTCCCCGGAGACCAGCGGACCTTGTCTGGAGTTTTACTTCCACATGTTCGGACAGCAGATGGGTAAATATCACTGCTATAAACGTAGTTGCTTGAACAATAGATTTGCATAAAATAAAGGCGATTTGACACGAACGCATTTCCATTTGTGTAACAGTGGGGGGTTTATAGGCGCTACCAACTGATCCGGCAACGGAGTCTAGACCTTTGTGCTTAGAGAGTCTGGTTATGAAGCTCTGGTGCCCGGGAGGTCGTGGGTTCGAACCCCGGCCCGGGACCAGAAGGGTGCATGACACAAGTACTAAATTGAAAATAGGTGGACAACGTCGCAATATCATATTGCCGCATGCTAGAGTAGATGCCAATGCTAATATATACAATAGGAAATACGGTTACTGTTATACAATGAGTGAAAACGCGACTTTAGCCTTGGTCACAACCCGCCGTGCGTGCTTTTTGTCCGTACGTTTTTTTCGGAGGCTACGTCTGCTACGTTTTTCTGAAAACGTGGGGAAGGAGTGGCGTCGACGCACGTCACTCGCACGTGACTCGCACGGTTGCGCAAGGTGTAAGAGTGTGGTCTGCACGCCACGTCTGGCCGTGAGCGGTTGCGTGCATCGTACGTTGCGCAAGTGGTAAGTGAGTTGTACGTGCTGACAACGTACGATCTCTGTGCGGTTGCAACTTTACCGTAAGGAGGCCGTACTCACACGTGCTTCTTCCGCACGGCACGTACGGGGCACGCGCGTCGCCCGTACTCGCACGCACAGGTGGTGAGTCCGCAGACCGCACGTATAAAGTTTTACATGCACTTAAAGTTCTATGGCGTGTCTGCGTGCTCCCAAATCCGTAGGATTCCGTACGGAGGCGGTACTCACCACGCACGGATGCCCTACGTTTGCCCACGTTTTTGCACGTAGACAGCGCGCAGAAGCACGTACGGCGGGTTGTGACCAAGGCTTTTCGTGTATGCAAGTCGTTTTGTAAATCATTGACGTTCTTGTTGTGATCCAGGCACCCTCCAGGTGTACACCCGGCTGTCGGGAAGTACAGACATGCAGCTGCAGTGGGAGCTGAGCGGGGACAGAGGTGACACCTGGAACAGGGCAGTCATCAACCACAACATCACCGGCAACTATCAGGTTGGTCATGAGACGGCTAGGCGTAGATAGAAAATAAGGTATGAACAGTATAAGGCCATGTTGATTTGATTATATGGATGACATCCGCGCGCGCAAGAATTTTCGGCCGTTTCCAAAAAAAAAAAGTTTTCAACCATACTGTAAATCGTACAAAACAGTTGCAAAATGAGCAAAAATATACCATAAGTCACAAACAAAATTAATAAAAACTATACCAATGTTGTAGAATGCCAAAATCAAACGAAAAAAGACGAAATTGTAAAGAAATGAACTTGAAGACTAGATTATTCGCCAAACCATATTCTGTGCCATTTGCTCAACCCTCATGACCACGTAGATTTCATAATAGAAAAGAACTTTTTTTTTGCAAAACTTTTTTTTTATTCGCACGCGCGCATCAGGACGCTCCCTCCTGGACGTGATGTCCCTTGCGGGATTTTGTCCAGTATT